TTTATATATATAGTATAAGACATTGTTATGGGTATTAAATACTAGCTAGCATGGTTAATAATTGGTAAACATATATAGTGTATATAGAGTATATATATCATACCATCACGTTCATGTCCGCCGGTGCTTGTGGTCTGTGTTTGTTTCGTATAGACGAGCGTCTCCTTTGGTGGAATGTTTGTGGCCTGCACATTGTATACGCTCAGATTCAAAGGTTGCTTCTTGCCGGCGCTAAAATAGAACAGAATAAGCATTAGATTATATTAAAGAATTTTATATATAATGCAATATATAAGCAACTGTAGCTAAGAGAAAATTCTAATCCTATACAGACGTTGCTCACTGCAATTGCCGCTATATAACAAATATATGCATGTTATATATACCCTTGTCCATTCACATTGGCTTGCAAGCTAACATCGGGCGTTTGTGTGTTGGAATTATCCGAGGTTAGCGAATTGGCTGAAGACAGCGAGGACAACACCTCCGAAACGGGCGCAACGCCTAGCGACGAAAGCATCTCATCTAGATCTCTGCAAGCAAATTGTATAATTATAATTTATGTATTTTTGAATACTATATTCATATGTATATGGGTTAACTGACTTGCGTTGGTCCTTGTCGATGCCGGTGCCGGTGCCAATGCGTCCGGCTGCCTCTTCCATGTCTTTGATCTCCTTTTCTCGGCGCCGGCGATCCTTCTCCTCGCGCAGTGCGGCCAATTTGGCCTTTTTGCGCTCCAGCTCAGCCTTTCGATCCATTTTTGAGGTGTGGTAACGCTCGACACTGTGCACAGCTGCTGCTCTTCGATTAGGAGTTGGGGGTGGGCGAGTTTTTCAGGCGAATCCGGTGCTACAACAACAACAACTACAACTACAGCAAGTGCAGTTCGAAAGCTGCACCACAAAAGAAACAAAAATTCATAGAAAAAGTCAAACTATGAATCAGTTGTAAGCATTATTGGTAAGCGCAGCTGGTTTTGATGATGTCACCACTAACCACACAAGAACAACAACATTAACTGGCCAAAAGTTAACTCTGCCTGCGTGTATGTGTGCAAATAGTATTGCAGCCAATACAACTTCCAGCAGACACACACACACACACAAGCACCCACTCACACATAAAAAAAATCAATACTCAAAGATGAGCAGCAGCATTTGCTGAGGCAGCGACAGCGCTGTCGCCGTTGTGACGTCGTTTTCCACTTTTTCGCTGGTGTGCCCATTTTTCTTTTTCACAGCCATCGCATAAAATAATACATCACAGCACACAGTACTTGAACTCAAAACACATATTTAATAACGCACCTTGAAATGTTGTTTGCAAACTAATTAGTATATATTCCAATTGTAATTAAAATAACATTTTATTCCAATTGAAAATGCGACTGCAATGTTTTGCGAATAGATCTAGTGTGACCGCAATGGACAATGAAAAATTACCAAATAGTCGATGCACAAAAAATACTGCACTGCGTGTTATTTGGCTGAATAGTGTGGCAGCACTTTTCTCAATGCTTTGATGTGTGCAATAATTGCATGTTTAGCTTTTAAATTATGCAAATCAAGGCGTTAAAATATTTACGTAAGTTACTTAAATTTAAATGACATATGCAAATAGTTATAATACTTGTAAGATACATGTAATGTAATAATGTAAATTAAGCTGTTATTGAATTTGTGTGGCAGCACCTAAGAACGTTATTTTATGCTGGCAGTGCCTGTGAGAGCGCGCCTAATTTTAAAAATTCAAATTCAAAAATATATTTGTAAACAGTAATTGAAGCCATGCATAAATTTGTTGTTAGCTTGGGGAAAAGAAAATGTTGTTTCGTTGAACTATCAAGCTGACATTAATTAATACTCAAGACATTTGGTCGTCAAGTGAAATCGTAAGAATGGAAATAGAAAGCTAAACGAGAGAACTTGTTGGCATTGTCATTGTCATTTTCAATGCGATTGTCATGCAATGCAACATAACGGGACAATCGTTTGCAATTGGCATATTAAGTGACCCTTTTTATATGTGTATGTATGTATGTATGCAATTAACTGCTAATTGTGTATAGCTGACCTGATGGCAATAAATGCCATGTGAAAGAGAGTTAATAGCTCTAGCTCTAGCTTATGGCACCCACACGCACACACACACACTTACACACATACTCTGACTTTGACATAGTTGGCGGTTCGTTCACTTTTGACTGCCAGCACGCCCTGCCTTTCAATTTGTTTATATTATTTGTGTTTTTCTTTAGCTTTTTATTCATATGCATATTTATTCGATATCTTGGTTATCTCTGATCCTCTTCCTCTTCATCAATTAGCTTGATATTTGGGTTGGCGCATCTTGATTTTGTAAAAGAAACAAAGAGAAAAAACAACCAAAAAACTGGATGACCTATAAATTGCATATGCATCGATTTCGTAACTCCCTTTAAAAATTAACTCATCTGTGTGAATCGTCAAAGCTGATGGTGGGCAATACCCTGCGCCAGAGATGGATGAAAGCGGGTATGCTCTATACTTTTTACCTAGATCAAATATGGTTAGTTAAAACTCTAAAAACTCTATTAAAACTAATTTATTACTGTGATGGGAAATACCCTGTAGAAGCTGAATGTAGTTGGGTATGCTGAATAAGTTTTGATCTCGAAAGAGGATGAAAATTTTAGCGAAGCATCTGTAAAAGCAGAATGCAAGCGGGCATTATTGCGATAGGGGATACCCTGTACGCGCTAGGTGGATTGGGTATACTCTATAATTTTGGCTACTTTTATGTTTGAAGCATTGCGTTGTATAATTAAAGATTTCTTAATTATTATAATGGACTTAGAGTGATTCGAAACTGTAGGGTATCTGTTAGTCGTTCTTCTGATGTCCTGAGAGCAAACTTGTATTTTAGTAGCCAAATGAATGTTGAAGCTTTTTCTTTTTCTCTTAAAACAAACATAAAGAAAACCTTGAATTACAAAATCTTACCAAGTTGCAACCCGATAATGATACCGATAATGATAATGCTAATAATGATGATAATGATGACGATAATGATGCTGTTGCTCATGATAAATCAGCGCATCTGTCTGTGGTTACAGCAACAAAGTGATTTAACAGTTGTTTTTTAGTTAATTGCAAAAGCTGTTTTTATGTATGTATGTATGTTKGTATAACTGTCTATGTGAGCCAGTCGCTATAGGGAAACGCTTTATAATGATAGATATAGATATCTACAATTCGATACGCGCATAATTTGCAATGAAATTGCTCACTTAAAATTTGTGTTGTTGTTGCTTTTTCTTCTTAGAAGTCGCTGGAAGTTGCCAGACTGCCATTTTGTTGTTGTTGTTGTTGTTGTAGTTGTTTTTTTCGTTTTGCTGTTTTCGAACGAGAGTAAAAGTTATGTATGTTTGTGTGTGGGTTTTTATTATTTTAAATTAACTTTAACTAGTTGCTAACTGCTTTATAGGTTGGGTTAGCCTGTTTTTCATTTTGATTATTTTTTTGTTTTTGAACATACTTGCGCTGTTTTGCCGGCCTGTCCAAGGACAACGGGTTTTTGTTGTTGTCTTTTCGGGGCATTGCGTGTGCGTCACATTTAGCATATAATCGCATTTACATATACATATAAATGTATGTGTATGTGTGTACATATATTATGCATATTTCGTTAATCATCAGATTCATACATTTGTCAGCATGGCTTGCCACACATGCATTCACACACACACACACACACACACATACATATATACATGTAGTTCTCGCCATTTTGGTTTCCTGCTTCAAGGCGAGTTTGTCCTGGCATCTGGCAAGGCTGGCCACGTAAGAGAAAGGCTGCAGTGTAATTTGGTTATTTATAAAGTGTGGCCACTTGTTAATGCAGAAACAGAAGTGAATACACATACATACATATATGTATGTATAGCTGCACTTTTGTTATGGCAGCGATTTGAAAGGCTTTGTGACTTTTGTCTTCCAATTGCGTCTGCCTTTTGTCGTCGCTGTTGTTATTGTTGGTATTTTTGGTTATTTTTTACTTTTTTTTTATTGCTGTAAATTGTCGAAGCATTTGCATGCGCGTCGTTAACCCGGCGAAGTTTCGGCTAAAGCGTTGGCGCATATGAATTTTGTTATTTGTTTTTGTTAGCTCTTTGATTTTTATTTTCTCATCAGGCACATACAAATTGAATATACATATGTATGTACGTGCAAACATACAGATACGCGCATGTATGTACAGAAAAACATCTGTAAGTATGTATGTACATGTGTATGTATTTACTTGCTTCATTACAACTTTGCTTTGCCTTTGCCTTGCCTTTCTTCGCTGCGGCGCGAACTGCGCTGCCGCCGCCATCTTCCAGGCTATGGCTTAGCGCCTGCGCCCAAGCATCATCGTCGCCAACGTTGCGACGCCAACGGCGCTGCTGGCGTCGCCGCATTGCCGCGTTTGCCGTTGTGCCGTTACCGGTAAAAAAGTCTTGAAAAGTGCGCCTCTTTGGCGTTCCGTTGTTAGTTTAAGTTTAACCATCGCACGCTTAAGTCGCGATTTAGTTGGTCGCTGAGAAGAAAATATCATTTTTTTCCAACTCCTGCTTCAAGGAGCACATATATATAGATATATCTATTTTTTTTTATGTAAATCTAGTTGTAAATCAAAGATACAAAATGAAATTATTTTTATGTGCCATTGCTGTGATGCTTTGTGTGGCGGCGACAAGTGAGTGACAAAATATGCATTAATTTTATTTAACCACAAAAAAACATTTAAAATAAATAAATAAGTTAAAATCTTGTATTGGCAACTTTGTGCTAATCAGTTTGACATTGGCTACGCATGTGTGTGTTTGCGTATGTGTGTGTGTGTGTGTGTGCTTGTAGCTGTCTGTCTGCCTTGGTGTACGCAGCTGCGCTCGCTACAGCCATTAGCTGGTGTCCGTTAGCTAACGGTATATGCAGGCTTTGCAATTGATTAGCCACATACACACACACACATACACACACACACACATTGCATTGCGTTCTTTTATATGCCATGGGTCGACCCTGTCTGACATTTAAGTTGCCATTTGCATGGATTTAATGGGCGTGTGTGTATGTGTGTGTGTGAGAGAGAAGGAGATAGCAGTGTGGGGAGGGGCAGGGAACGCGAAACGGGTAAACGATAAACCGGCTGGCGCTGGAATGAAAAACTGAAACTGGAACTGGCAGCCGATCAAACTGTTAACTGGAACTGGGACTGGGACTGGGCGTGCGCTTATGCAACCGCAAACAGGAAAAATGAGATAAATATTAAAAAAAAAAAGAAAGAAAAAAGTCGAATCGATCAATCGATCAGTTATTTATTTATTTGCTGTTTGCCTTTTCCAAGCTGTTACACTTTTCACAAGCAGGAAAACCGAGGTCTGAGTGAAAGCAAGGCAATAAGTTTAATGAACTCTCTTTCTCTCTCTCTCTCGCTCTCTCCATTTCTCTGCGCAGTCGCCGCTGTCGACTTTGACTGCCCCAAACCCAATGGCCAATTCGCCGATGAAGAGCAATGCGACAAATATTATGAATGCTCGGACGGTGTGCCCAAGGCAAAACTCTGCCCCGATGGCCTTGTCTTCGATCCACTGAATCGCAAGATCAACAAATGCGATCAGCCCTTCAATGTGGACTGCGAGGATCGCACGCTCTTGCGTAAGTAAATCCCCAAATACCCTATAAAAACCGAGTATATTTATGTATATATGTAACATTGATGTTTATCTATTTGAATTCCTATAGAGGAGCCCAAGTCCACTAAGTATTGTCCGCGCAAAAATGGTTTCTTTGCCCATCCGGAGCCGCATATCTGCAACATCTTTTACAATTGCATTGAGGGCGATGCTTTGGAAATGAAGTGTACCGTTGGCCTGCACTTCGACGAGTATTCCGGCACCTGCGTGTGGCCGGATACGGCCAAGCGTGAGGGCTGCGCCGATCCAGAGAGTGAGTGCTGAATTCTTGAAAGCCCAAAGACAAGCAAAACTAACTCATTGATCCTTGACAATCCAATCTCTCCCTGTTTCTCGCCCCGCTCGTTCTTTCACCTCTTCTCACATTTGTAGAAAAAACTGAGAGCGGCTTCTCGTGCCCCAAGGATCAGCCCAAAATGGATGCGCGCGGCCAGGTTGTCAGCCATCCGAAATATCCCCATCCCACCGATTGCCAAAAGTTCTATGTCTGCCTGAACGGCGAGGATCCCAGAGACTTGGGCTGCCAGCTGGGCGAGGTCTACAACGACGTGACTGAGATGTGCGATGCGCCCGAAAATGTGCCCGGCTGCGAGGACTGGTACAAGGATACCAGCGACGATGACGACGGCACCAACAAGAAGCCCTCGTCCAGGAGCTGAGCTTCATACCATCCGCTGATATCATAAAAAATACAAGAAAACACAACAACAACAAACAAAATATCATATACGCCCATTCTTGCGCGCGTCTAAGGCACACACACACACACACACATATTAAGTTAGACTTGGACGGACTGACAGGACGGCGGAAGGACGCGCGTGTTAGTCAGTTAAACTAAAAGTCGTTGCTAGCCTCTTTGTGAAGCGTTACTTTCAACTAGTTACTTTTGACTCGCTACTCGTTACTTTTGATTAGGTACTCGTTACCCTTACCTAGCTTACTCTCTGGACTCGCTATTTGTGACTTTTGACTGGTTACTCGTTACTTTTGACTAGGTACTCGTTACTCTTACTTAGCTTACTCTCTCGACTCGCTATTTGTGACTTTTGACTCGTTACTCTCTTTACCTTACTCGTTACATTCGATAAGCTACTCGTTACTTTCGACTCCCTACTTGACTTTTAACTCGCTATCTGCTCTTCTTTTCCCTACGCACACTTTCTTTCTCGTTTTCTCTTTCATTTACTGTATTTTCTCTTTCTATACTCTTTAACTGATCTATCGTTGTGTATATATTTCCTCTTTGTTTAAACACAAAAAGAAAAAAAGAATTACAAAAAACAAGAATAATAAAAAATAATAAACTTTTTCTATACACTATCTGCACTCTTTTACATTCTTTTCTACAACCTTTTTTTCTATATTCTCAACTATTTTTATTAAATACACACTATAATTATTTCTTTCTTAGCTTTCAGCTGCTTAATATTGGTTTTCATTTCACTAATGTTTTATTTCTAGTTATTCTATTTTCATCTTCGATCTTGAATCCTTCATTTCATTAATTCCGCCATTGATCTTCATTTATTACTTGGTCTTTGATCTTTGCTCTTTCATCTTTGATTTTTGTTCATCACTTAGCTCGTGTTTCCTTTACTTTCTTTCTAATGCACATAGTATTCTTATTATCCTTCATCTGAGGCTGAAGTTTCCATATAAATTTTCTAATATTTCACATTCTATCGTTCACGATCTTCCTTTCTTCATAGCCTATACTTACATTTCTTTTTTCTTCTAAGCGAATCCTTACTCAAGATCAAGATCCTGAGTTTATTTTTTGATAAGCTCCTTGAAGTCTTCCTGAATTTTCATGATATAATTAT